TAATAATTTAATGTTACACTGTAAAAAATGATATGATGAAAAAGCCATGACAGCTTATGTTTTTAAGTTACTTTAACTCATAAAAATAATTTAAGCAATTTCAACTTTTTTTTATAAGTTATACTAGATTCAACTTGATTTTTTAAGTCAGTTTAATGTTACTGAAATTCAAAGAGCCCAATTTAGTTCAGTGAACTTAACATTTTAAGTTGTAGCTTTTTGGCACTAACCGGCCAAATCTCTGAACATGGATTCATGCGCAGGAGTCAAATTTGTAGATGAATTTAATATCAGAGTCCTTTCCAAGAAAAAAAAAATCAGCAAATCTAGACATTGGATTCATGTTTGAAACATGAGACATCGCAGTGCAACATCAAACAAGGAGACACGGGCAGACTATACAGCGAACTAACTAAACCGCGGAGGAATTTCAGACGAACAACTCATGAACTTGAGGAAGCTGTCCGTTGGGCTGGCGCGAAGAAGCATATTCAACGTGAATGAGGTGAGTGAATGCTTGTGTAACATAATTTTTGGGAGATTATTGTTTACGCTAGCAGAATAGAGCATAATTAGTTATGTTCTGTCATTGTTTTCCTAACTGTGTTTACCTTTCAAGTTTTGTACTTCTGATACGGTGGCCGCTGTGCTGTGCTGCATTAGCACTGCAGATTGTAATGTAACGTTTGAGATTTGACACATATTTGTTTCTCCACCTGTTAAACATCGTTAAGATGGGCAATTTGAGCGATTATAGGTGTATTTTACCGTTAAAGTGGGTAAGTTACCAGTTGGCTTTGCTGAGCAGGCTCGGCATTTTCGCGCCCACTGGAAGTTTATCCCAGTCAGGCTTCGCGCGTTTGAGTTGGTATTCGTTACTGAGTAAAGTTAAGCGTTTTTTTTTTTTATCAACCGTTCAAGCTGGGATAATATAAGTTAACTTGAGGTAGACGACGAGCGGTTTTCTACGACGCATGAACTAAACGTCACCAGTTTTGTCAGTTCTGTTCAAACTAGATGAACATATGACACATATTAATATGATTTAAGAGACCACGATTCAAACAATTGTTAACCTTGTTCATTTGTGACTACTTTTGTAGAAAGACATTTTTGTCAGCCGAGCAACCGACATGTTAAACGTTACATTCAGTTGGACGCATTGTAGGCCTAACGTTGTATTGATTTTGTTTTGTGTTGACAATTGTGTTTGTACATTAATTCGATTTTTGATACTTGAACTCTGATTTAAAGAAGAAAAAAAGAGTTATCAAAGGTGATGTGTTCATATTCAACCTCATTAGAGGGAATCAAATCTTGAACTAAAGTGAACAAAAAGAGAAGTATATGAAGTTCATTTGCAAAAACCGATAACTCCCTTTTTTTTTCCCAGAAATCACGTTTTTTTTATTGCGCATTCCAAGTAGGCCTAATATCAATCAAACTGCAGTTGGGTTGTTTTGATTAAGTAATAATAACTTAAACAATTACAGGTAATTTAGAAAATTAAAGTTCATTGAAAGTATGTTTTTTTTTACGTATTTAAAGTTGTTTTATAGCAAAAGCAGATAACTCCAACAGTCGTTTTTTGGCAAAAGCAGATAACTCCACATTTCATGTTTTAGAGTTTACAAAAACACTCGTTTAATCTTTGTAATCTCCTCAGATGACAATGTAGATGCCTGACAAACGTTGTTGTTATTGTGATCATAAACTGTATGGATGTGATTTCACACAATACATGGAGCTTTTCCCTCACCATTGTAACGCGCTGCTTTTACAAGTTTCCGTGAAAACGTTTCAGCTTTTCTTTTTTTTTCAGATTTTCCTTTTTTGCCCTTAAGAAGATATCAAGTTCTTCGAAATTATCCATCCTCGATCACTTTTAGTCAGCTTTGACGAAGCTCCTCTCAGCTAGCACATCTTTTCAAAGTGAAAGTAGCCTTGTTAGCCTTGTCACCTGACCTGAATACAGTGCGCTGATTTGCTAAAATGGACTTATCGGCTTCTGTTCAAAAACAACAAGGGCGCTTGTTGGCTTCTGCAGTAAAACGTGAACTCGCGATGCCTTGAAAGTTTCTCAGCAGCGAATCTATTCTTCTGAGACACTGGTCCATAGATTGGCATTATAATATCTACAAATTATTTGCCATAGAGCAAGTGCTACACAAACACTTTTTGTCACACTGTGGCAAAGCTTTGAAAAATCTCCAGGCCATCTTCATCTCTCTCAGAGACGGACTGTAGTTCAATCATTAGCTTTTGCTCTCTCCATTCTTGTCTTCAGTCAGATACACAGACATTTTTTACAGAGCCCTAACAAGCAGAGCAATTTATGTGCTATGGTATGAGCTCTTTGGGGTTGAACTCAAAGGCTGCCCTTATTTCACCGACACTACTCATCTCCGGGAGGCAAAGGGAGCCTGAGGTGAAGGTAAGACCCTGAAGATCGAAGCCATAAAGCTGAGGAACTGCCTGGCTTTTGTGCAAAAGGGATGATCTATACTGGTTGGTGGAGCATAAAACAATAACTAAGGTTACTGTTTGCCAACCTGATGTAGGCGTAGACAACAATCCAGTATCAGCGAGACTCCATTGATCATAAACTGAGACATGCAAAGAGGTGGTGAACTAACAAGTTGGACACCACAAAAATTCTTCTAAAGATTCTTTGTTTCTCCAGGTCAAAAAAATCTAGATTTTTCAAACTACCTGAAAGAGGAGGAAAAGGCAGCTGTCCAAGGCCATGTTTTATGGGTTTATTTATCTTGCCACATGTTCAACCATGTCATGCTTCCAAGGTAAAAATAAAATCGTTATAAACAGGTCTGACCAGGATTTTAAAATTGAACTGGTTTACTTGTCTAAACTCTTTCAGACAATTATAAATGCGCCAATAATGTAATTCCCAGCAAAATGCCTCAGAGTATTTCTTTTCTGGTGATCAGGTTGAGAATCTTTATGCTATTCAGTTGTACCGGAAGACAGCTCTGGATTGATATTTATAAAGTAAAGTAAATATAGCATCAAAGTCAGAAAGAAAAGCTCCTGTGGTGCAAACATGAATTTTCAAATCAATTTCTTGACTGCTGGCCCATATTCTGTCTGAAAGCGGTTTGTTATTATGCACTTTCCTTGAGACCTGGGTGCTTAGGAAAGGAAACCTTGCCTTTGACTGTCGAAAGTGTATCAGAGCAATTATACTGACGTGATTCATGGTCAGACCTTAATGTTCTTGGCTCTCAAACTCCCGCAAGACGATGGTCAGCCAGGCTAATAGGCAATACATAGCCTCAAATGGGTTTTACTTGTCCCGGACAGATTTAAGATGTGATTTTGGTAACAGCTGAGACATGTGCAAGTGTTATAGAGTTTAAGCAAGGATATTTCTAAATGATTGGCACATTCTGAAATTTGACCTTTAAAAATCTGATCTATAGAGACATACAGTAATCGATAACTGAAAGGGGAGTGAATTTAAAAGTGTAGTTCACCCAAAAATGAAAAGTTGTATCCCTAGGTCATCAAAGATAGTAAGTTTGTTTCTTCGTCAGAACAGATTTGTAGCTTTACATCACTTGCTCACCAATGGATCCTGTGCAGTAAATGGGTGCCGTCAGCATGAGAGTTCAAAAAGCTGATAAAAGCATCACAATAATCCACACATCTCCACTCCATCAATTAACATTTTATGAAGTAAAAAATCATCATTAAGCCATTTTAAATTTACACTGTCACTTTTGGCCAAAATATGAGTCCATAATCCATAGTAACGCTTCCTTCAGTGGAAAAAGTCCGTCCCCTGTTGTCCTCTCACATCAAAGTTTCTTTGTTGAGAACTGTTTTTGCTTGTGAATGGTGCTTGATGACCTTTAAAAATCTGATCTATAGAGATATACAGTAATCGATAACTGAAAGGGGAGTGAATTTAAAAGTGTAGTTCACCCAAAAATGAAAAGTTATATCCCTAGGTCATCAAAGATAGTAAGTTTGTTTCTTCATCAGAACAGATTTGTAGCTTTACATCACTTGCTCACCAATGGATCCTGTGCAGTAAATGGGTGCCGTCAGCATGAGAGTTCAAAAAGCTGATAAAAGCATCACAATAATCCACACATCTCCACTCCATCAATTAACATTTTATGAAGTAAAAAATCATCATTAAGCCATTTTAAATTTACACTGTCACTTTTGGCCAAAATATGAGTCCATAATCCATAGTAACGCTTCCTTCAGTGGAAAAAGTCCGTCCCCTGTTGTCCTCTCACATCAAAGTTTCTTTGTTGAGAACTGTTTTTGCTTGTGAATGGTGCTTGATCTGAGCATCTCTCACCTGACAATGCAACTTTTCCATGGGAGAAATCAATATTATGGATAGAGGACTTGTATCTTTATTTGACCCTCAAACTCTAGCACTCTCTATTCTAATTATATTCTTTAAAAAAACTTGGCCCTTTTAGACTTGCACTTTATTCATTAACTAACTGCTTGTTTTCTTAAAAAAAAAACTAACACTAGCTTCTCTATTCTTTTTGTATTCTATCTATTTGTTTTCTTTCTATTTGTTTTCTTTTTATTTATTATACAATTAACAAAAGCAAAAAGGCCTCTAACACTAGCTTGCTCTCTTTGTTGAGAACTGTTTTTGCTTGTGAATGGTGCTTGATCTGAGCATCTCTCACCTGACAATGCAACTTTTCCATGGGAGAAATCAATATTATGGATAGAGGACTTGTATCTTTATTTGACCCTCAAACTCTAGCACTCTCTATTCTAATTATATTCTTTAAAAAAACTTGGCCCTTTTAGACTTGCACTTTATTCATTAACTAACTGCTTGTTTTCTTAAAAAAAAAAACTAACACTAGCTTCTCTATTATTTTTGTATTCTGTCTATTTCTTTTCTTTTTATTTTTTATACAATTAACAAAAGCAAAAAAGGCCTCTAACACTAGCTTGCTCTATTCTTTTTCTATTCTACCTGTTTTCTTTTTATTTAGTATATGATTTAAAAAAAAATCTTGCTACGTGTACTATATTAAGCTAACAGACTTGTTATAGCACAGATGATCATTGCTCTTTTGCTGATTTTGATTGCTTCCATTGTCCTCATTTGTAAGTTAAAAAAATCTTGCTACGTGTACTATATTAAGCTAACTGAGACTTGTTATAGCACAGATGATCATTGCTCTTTTGCTGATTTTGATTGCTTCCATTGTCCTCATTTGTAAGTCGCTTTGGATAAAAGCATCTGCTAAATGTCAATGTATTTTAGCTGGAAGCAACAATTTGAAGTTAAAAACACGTCTTGATGGATTTGTTTATTACAAACTAAACATCTTTTTACTTCATACAATGTTATTTAATGTATAGAGTCATGTGGATTACTTTTGGATTATTGTAATGTTTCTATCAGCTGTTTGGACTCTCATTCTGATGGCACCCATTCACTGCAGAGGATCGATTATGGAGCAAGTGATGTAAAGCTAAATCTCTTGATATCTGCGGTAACGGTAACAAAGTTATCTACATGTTGGATGTCCTGATCATGAGTAAAGTTACATTTTTGAGGTGAACTATTCCTTTAAAATGGTACGTGTATACAACTTAGGCTAGACATAATCAAATATACCAGAATCAAAACAAAGTTTGTTTCATCAAGATGATCCATTGCAATTGAGCTATGTAGGACCACTCTAATGAGAATGAAACCAAAATGTAGGAAAGCTCTTATATGTTTTTCAGTACCACTGTTATATTTAGATTAATCTTTCTTTCTTTTCTGCTTTTTGTATAGACGCTGTATTTTATGTAATATAGACAACATCAAAAAAAGTATATTTCACTAAAGCACTTCTCTAATGCTCCTTAATTTAGTTCTTTGTACTGTATATCATGTTTCCACTGCTTTGGACAAAATCAAAGAAACCAGGCTAATATTTCCTAAATGTGTTTTGCTTGGAACAGACTGTGCTGCAATCCTTGAGCTATATTTAATGATTCCAAAAGTGTAGTTATTAACAGAATAAAATCTCCCAGCTCAAGCCCTTTGAAAAATGTACAAGGCTTTGATCATTTAAAATGATATAAGTGATATTGGAAAGGAAAAAGCTGGACATCTTATCTTGCTGGGTAGTACATCAGATGTCCTGGCGTCTGGTGGAGCGGTGGAGGAGGATTTTCTGTGAAAGGAAATTTGTGGTCACTTAAAAGGTTTTAATGCATGCCATGTTAGTTTTTTGTCATTTAGCCATTTTTCCTACTTGGTCACTACTGTAAATTGGAAACCACCAAGTCGTCTTGTGTCAGTATGGCCAGTTGTTTGTTCTCAAATCATTTTTTGACACTGATGAACACTATTTCACAATACTCTTTTTACAGAACATTATGCAAGAGTGGCTCTCCAAAGCATTATTTATTGGCCCAAGGAGATACATTACATTTTAAACCTCAAGAATTCACATCACAACTGGTGCAAAGTTTTCTTGTCCCTGCCCAGCATCTACAAGTTCCACGTATTACCCAATAAAAATCAGAGTAATCATATATTTTTTTAATATTATTATGAATTTATTGTTATTATTTTTACTTAATACCTCTCCACAGATGTTTTGGAACCGTTAAAGGTGTTAATCAATTGAAATGTCCTCTTTTTCACTCTGTCCCGTCTCTGTCCTGCCAGTATCAACTCTGGTGCTTTTTACATTACAAGGCTAATGAGTTCATAAAATGGAAGGGATTGTGAGAAACATTCTGCTTTAACTCTCTGAGCGTTTGGTTGCATTAATTTTCTCAGCTCATTTTTCCTTTACTTTGTGTCCAAAATTCAGCACTGTAAACTTACAAATTCAATAGAAAATGGAAAAACAGTAGATTTTACTTTACAAATTTCATTAACATCATGACCTTTGACTGGTAACTCTGAGTCTTTCATCTGCTGTTGTTTTTGAGATGTTTTAGACGGCTCTGGTTGTTTTCGGAACTCTTGGTGTGTATAAAATATAGATCAAATGCACTTAAAAGATCACACTGCTGATACAGAAAGAAGAAGTCAGACAACGGTTCATTGTGTGCCAACAATGCTGAACAAATACTGATAGAAATACCTGTAGATCGATCGTACTGGTCGATATGTCTTTATTTGCCTTCATTTCGTGCTTTCTGCATTATCTTCTCAAAAAGTGTTATTTCAGGTTATCTGTTGTATTACGGAAAAATTACATAGCTGTAACACAGAACTCTACCTGCTTGCTTAACTGATTAACTATGATGTTAAACCATTATTTAATAGCTTAAGTAAAGAGGGACTTTAAAAGTTATTTGTCACAATGGAAATCTTGTCATTTTGATGTTCAAACAATTTAAATAATGAATATAATGAACAATAAAAAGAAGGCATAAGCTTGATCAATGTACTTGATGCCAGTCAATAGCAGACAAAGTCCTTTGCTCACATTGAAGATTTCAGCATCTGCAAATACACAAATACATCTGGTTATTGGACATATCTGACAACTTGTTAGGACTGGAGAGGCTGTTGCAAACATAATCCAAAATAAACATTTTTTGTAAGTTAAGCCTTTTTTTACTGTCTGAAGCAGGAACAGATGTATGATCCAGCTGATGAATTGAAACCATCTGAAACAACTCTTACAGTCTTGCTCCATAAATATACCTTTCAACATGTTTAGTGTGAGATCAAGAAAAAAAAGCAATAAGGAGAAGAAGCAACATGTTTGTCAGCCTTGTCTCCTGGTTTCACTGGGGCAGATGGTGGGCAAGTGCTGCACCTGACAGTCTTATTATACCAGTTTTGTTTGTTTGTTGTATAAATAAATATAAAATACTTTCTTACAAGCTTTAAAGTATGTATAGACAAGAACATCTGAATGATTGCATGATTTAACTTTAATTTGACAGAATTAAAATGTGTTTTAATCCAAGCCCTCTGGGTCATGGCACCAGATTTATCCCCTAATAGTGTTTAAAAACTGACATTTTGCAAGTGCTCGCAAAACACTTTTTAATGTACACAACGTTAGCTCATATTCTTTCAGTGTAGGGGAACATTGTCTGTTTAGCTCTTGCTTTTTATCCAAAGCAATTCAAGACTATAGGGATTTACTGACACGATCATATATCAGCATATTGCTATTGCTATTGCTATTACTACACAGAATATATGCTACATACCAAATTACAGATGGAATCAATAAACTACAAGTGGAATAATTTTATCTGAAATGGATTGATAATTTAATAATGGATAACATTCATCAAACGGTACAGTCAGTAAAGGCAGTAATCCCCCAAAGTTCAATAAATTAAATTAACATTGCATTAGCAAAGAAACAGGACAAATAAAATACAACCAATAAAACAATTTAAAATGGAAAGGGCAAGTTCAACACTTTCTCACTGTTCAAATAAACATTGTCAAACTTTCAAATAAACACTTTCACGCTTTTCAAACAAACACTTTCAGCACTTTCAAATAAACATTTCCATGGTTTCATTTGTTTTTACCAAATGGAAAAAAAAATTCGAAGATTCAGGTCACCTAGGTCAATTAACTCTCCAAAGCTCATTTGTGTGAGGTTCAACAAAATCCAGCTCTTTGAATAATTAAAAAAACTGTAAACTAAAAACACATCCGTTAAAATGATGACGCAATATTAGAACTGCATCAAATGCACTATTACTGATTTTCCATGGCCTAATGTTTAAAATGCTTGAGGAATTACACTCTATCAGGGCTGGTTTTAGTCAAATACAGTGACCACAGCCAAAATGCAATTGTGAATTAATATGGACTTAAATATCACATTTACATGAGGAGGGGTATCACAAAACCAAACCCCAAAATGTCTGTATTCCTTCAGACTTGTTAAGTAAGTAGCATTGGAGTACATGTTACAGATTGTGAAATTTAAAACAAGCCTTACAAAATAAATGTAAAAATAAATAAATAATCAAATTATGGCTAAAATCAAGTTTATTTGTATAGCGCTTTTCATGATACAAATCATTGCAAAGCAACTTTACAGCAAATTAAGTTTCTACAATATTTAGTGGTAGCTTATCAGTGGTGACTGTCAGTTAATGTACATATGGCAGAAATGTACGGAAAAATCTATTAAAGATGTAATCAATTAAAGACGTAATCAAACAGACGATGAACACTATTAACAGCAATTATTATATGATGCAATCAAACGTATAGCAAAATTTGGTAGTTCTGTATGTGGTTTCAGGGTTGGCATCATCTGAGGTCCTCTGAAGGGTTGGCATCATCTCTTCTCATGTGTTCTGGATCCAGACTGAAGCTTGTGTAAATCCTAGTTACCACGGGATGGCAGAAACAACAATAGTTCTGCCCGGACAATAACAAGTTCACTCTAGTAATTTAATACTTAATTTCTTGCAAACAGTATTGCTGATAAATAGTGTAAAGATCTAATCTGAAAGGTGTATTTATTGTGCCACCTTCTGGTTAGCGTTGTCAGAACCCACTTTAATGGTTTATTTGTGCCAATCAAAAGAGAGGAAATTACCACAAGATTTCTGTCACTTTTTTGTGTCGGATATTTAAAAGGCAGTAGAAATATGCGGAGAGAATTTCTCTGCTTTGCGCAAAGCCTTTCAACCTGCTAATGTCAAAATGGTGGAGTCATTCAATAGAAGCCAGAGCTGTGAACTGTGTACATCTGTGACCTTAAATGTGCCCTGTGTACTGGAAATGTCAATATGCTTGTAATTAGTCTGTCACCTTGCAGTAAACACCATGAATCAAAAATCTAATTTCTTTTCAGATGAGACAAAGCTGGTAGAATATTAGTTGCATGTAAGTAGTACTAAATCTCCATGCCACAAAAAAAACATTGTTATCTAATGTAACAAACAGTCCACTGAAGGCGAGTTTAAGATAAACCCAAGTGCAGCTTTATTCCAAAGTAATCCAAACATCCAAACAAATGAAGAAAGACTTGACTTGAACAGACTTGACTTGGCATGAACAGACTTGCACAGACTTGACTTGGCATGAACAGACTTGACTTGGCACAAACAGACTTGAAAAACTCACCAACAGCAGGTTACACTGATCAATACTCGACAGGAGATAATGGCAACATGAGGGCTATTTATAACAAACAATACAGGTCACATGACAAGAAC